AGTTCAAGGGTCCCCAATCCCCAGTACTGGGCCATGGCATGCCAGCAACCAGTCCACACAAACAAGCAAAGCCCCATCCGTGGGATGCAGGCAGCACACAATACCACACACTCTCCGGTCCATGGAAAAAAACCTTTCTCCACAGAACCAGTCCCTGGTGTCCAAAAGGTTGGGGGCCTCTGTTTTAGTTGGTCTACAAGGTTTGCTTGAAGCTGAGCTGTGCTCCTGAAGACTTTATGGGGAGTGTCCACGTTATAATATGCCAACACTTTTGGCTTCCAAGGTATTATTTTCACCTCTCCCAGTCTGGACCACAGGGCTTATATCTACATCAAACACAGTTTTGGTCTGGAGCTCACCAGCTTCTTGAATGCAGTTTTGAGCAACCTTGGAGTCCAACTATTGTACAACACTGTCTAAAGCCAGGGTGTCCAACCTTGGCAACCTTAAGACGGGTAGATTTCAACTCCCAGACTTCTCCGGCCAGCATGAGGCATTCTGGGAGTTGAAGTTCATAGATCTTAAAGTTGCCAAGGTTGGGTCTAAAGCCTACAGCCAGCAAATTATCCCAACAGGAAAGAGCTGTTACCTGCGTAGCTCATAAAGTTGTTGAATGGTGTATTCTGGAAGTTACGGAACCCACACATGTTACTGCTAGCAGGGGGATCGCCACAGACTTTGTGAGTTGGGGTAGGGTTGGTATCCGGGCAGAGATCCCCCGTTTCGAAAGACGGTTCTGTTTCCATGCAGGGGTCGCTGCAGGAGAAGATCTCAGAGACCCCCTTAAAGACATGGTAGAGTCCGAGGCTGTGTCCAACTTCATGGATCATGGTATGGGTGTGGCCAGCAATGCCATAGAAGGAAGGATTCAGGACGATGCCTCCTGTATGGGCAAAAAGAGAGAGGAAGGGACATTGCTGCGTGTTGGTGCCTCCAGAAACATCGTGAAAGAAAAGAACACACAGATGCAAGACTTGCATGAAGCCTACCAAGAGAATTTGCGACAAACTTCCTTTTGGTGGGTCCCACAAAATGAATTGTGTGAGGCCCAGAAAGGAAGACCAATGAAATCTCATCATTATTATTTCCTTCTTGTTTGTAGGCATGGAAGCAAGGAAGGACATACAACAATAGAGAAGCAGAGGAGGAGGAGGAAGAGGAAGAGAATCAGGGTGAGGGACTCCAATAGGCTTCAGTGGCGTCTTTGCTGGAGCCCAATAAGCAAATTTATTTGTCTGTTTGTTTGTTTGTTTCCTGCCTTTATTACTTTTATAACTAACTCAAGGCGGCAAACATATCTAATACTTCTTCCTCCTCCTAGTTTCCCCATCATAACAACCCAGTGAGGTGAGGAGAGCTGAGAGAGAAGGACTAGCCCAAAGTCACCCAGCCAGCTTTCATGACTAAGGCGGGACTAGAACTCACCAACTCCTGGTGATTGGCCCAAAGTCACCCAGTCAGCTTTCACGCCTAAGGCGGGACTAGAACTCACCGACTCCTGGTGATTGGCCCAAAGTCACCCAGCCAGCTTTCACACCTAAGGCAGAACTAGAACTCACTAACTCCTAGTGATTGGCGGCCCAAAATCACCCAGCCAGCTTTCATGACTAAGGCAGGACTAGAACTCACCAACTCCTGGTGATTGGCCCAAAGTCACCCAATCAGCTTTCACGCCTAAGGCAGAACTAGAACTCACCATCTCCTGGTGATCGGCCCAAAGTCACCCAGCCGGCTTTCACGCCTAAGGCAGAACTAGAACTCACCGACTCCTGGTGATTGGCCCAAAATCATCCACTCAGCTTTCACGCCTAAGGCAGGACTAGACCGACTCCTGGTGATTGGCCCAAAGTCACCCAGCCAGCTTTCACGCCTAAGGCGGGACTAGAACTCACTAACTCCTAGTGATTGGCGGCCCAAAATCACCCAGCCAACCTTCATGACTAAGGCAGGACTAGAACTCACCAACTCCTGGTGATTGGCCCAAAGTCACCCAGCCGGCTTTCATGCCTGATTTGGGACTAGAATTTGCCATCTCATGATTTCTTCAGCCCTAGACCCAACTGGAGCCAATTCCTGGATACAATCACCTGGGAATATCATACTTCCAAGCGATTGCACGGGAACCCAAACAGAATCCATACGGAGTGTTTTTGCAACAAATCCATCCCAAAGCACAATTCATCTGCTCTTTTGTTCAAGGCTTTGATATTTGGTGTTCTTTTGTTTATGTTTTTCTTTCTTTCTGATGTTTGGAGATATTGGGGAGGGGAAAAAAAAAACCACATCTCCCTGAACGGAGAAGATAGATATCACAGCACAGGCTGGCTCAAATTTATCAGGGCTCTGAAGCTGAGCAGGTTGTTTGATTCTTCTGTCTGCTTGAGAGTGGGGGGGGGGTGTTTGGGGGGGGAGGGAGAGGAAAGGAACCATATATTTTTCACTGCTGTCAAAGATCTAAATCAATTACCGGTTTTTCCATTTAAAAGCGAAAGAGAAAGATTGTTGGTTTTTTGGGATGGTGTTTTTTTTTTGTGCCCCGATGATAATTTATTCCAAAGTTAAGATCTGGACAACAGAACATATTTCATTTTATTTTCTTATTAAACAGATATTGGATTTAGAGAACTAGTGGGGGAAACAAATACGGAAAGGCGGGGCAGGATTTTTCTGAGCGAGAAGGGGGCAGCGAAGGTGGCTAAACAGGAAATTAATTCTGTCTATTTCCCCCCTCCTTCCTTTGGAGCTGACTTCAAACTGTTGGCACAATAATTAGAATTGCTGCTATCACAGGTAAATTCAGTGAAGCAACTCTGCATTTGAACACCAAGTAGAGTAGAGTAGAGTAGAGTAGAGTAGAGTAGAGTAGAGTAGAGTAGAGTAGAGTAGAGTAGAATAGAATAGGTTCTTCATTGGCCAAGCATGATTGGACACACAAGGAATTTGTGTCTGGTGCATAAGCTCTCAGTGTACATACAAACAACAAAGTGATAAATCATAAGACACCAATAATAGAAGGTAATAGGAAAGATGAGAAGGATAATAGCCAATACAGCCCTACTACAGGGGCAAATATCCTTAGGCATAAGACAGTGCTATGGGAATTGGGTGTTTAGCAGAATGATGGCACGGGGCAGAGGAAGAGACTGTCTTTGTGCCTAGTCGTTTTGGCACTCAGTGCCCTATAGTGGCATCCTGAGGGGAGGTGTTGAAACAGTTTGTGTCCAGGATGGGAGGGGTCTGTATATATTTTCTGAGCCTCCTTCTGACCTGCACAATATACAGGTGCTCAGTGGAAGGCCGGCTGGTTGCGATTGTTTTTTCTGCAGTCCTAACTATCCATTGAAGTCTGTATCTTTCCTGTTCGGTTGCTGGACCAAACCAGACAGATATAGAAGTACATATGACAGACTCAATAATTCCTCTGTAAAATTGTATCAGCAGCTCCTTGGGCAGTCTGAGCTTTAACTAAACCTTAAAAGGGAGGACCAGGAAGCTGACAATGTCACCAAGAACNTGTCTCTGTCTCTCCCTTTCTCTCTCTCCCTCCCTCTCTCTGTCTTTTTCTGTCTGTCTCTCTGTCTCCCTTTCTTCTCTCTCTCTCTGTCTCTCTCTCTCTCTCTGTCTCTCTCTCTCTCTCTGTCTCTCTCTCTCTCTCTCTCTCTCTCTCACACACACACACACACACACACACTATTTCAGGGCTGACATCACTTGGGTTTATAATCTATTTTTTTTCTGCCTGGAAGTCAAGAATGATGAATATTTTTGTTCTCTCTCTCTCTCTCTCTCTCTCTCTCTCTCTCTCTCTCTCTCTCTCTCTCTCTCTCTCTCTCTCTCTCTCTCTCTCTTCCTCACTCCCCCTCCCTATTTTCTGTTTATAACCCTCTATTTAATCCTTAAATAGCCTCTGGGCTATTTAAGGCTACTGTTGGAAAGGGATTTAAAAAAGAAAAAAAACAGAATTCAGAACAAAAGTTGATGACATCCCAGAGTCTCCTTCTTAATGTTCACACCAAGTCCTTAACTTGATTTCTGAGTGAACCTTTGTTACGGCTTCACACATGCTCCCGAATCACAAACTCTTGAAAGGTTTTACACACTAAACCTCCTGTATCCTCCCAAACGGAAGCAAAACTAACCAAATTTAGCCCGGTCTACAAATTTGGCTGGAACTTTCCTAAAGCTGTTTAGGCTCTGGGTGCATAAACACATCCCATGTGTCCACAAAGTCTCACTTCTCCTGTTAAGAGACCCAGGGACACCTCAACGGTCATAAAGGTGAGTCAGTTGTCAAGCATCCGAATGTGAATCACGTGACCCCGGGGAATGCTGCAAAGGTTGTAAGTGCGAACAACAGTCACAAGTGTAAAAACGGTCACCACGATGTAAAAAAGATGTTGAGACTCTAGAAAGAGTGCAGAGGAGAGCAACAAAGATGATCAGGGGACTGGAGGCTAAAACATATAAGGAACGGTTGCTGGAATTGGGCATGTCTAGTTCAATGAAGAGAAGGACGAGGGGGGACATGATAGCAGTGTTCCAGTATCTCAGGGGCTGCCCCAAAGAAGAGGGAGTCAAGCTATTCTCCAAAGGACTTTCTGAAGGCAGGACAAGAAGCAACGGATGGAAACTACCAAGGAGAGAAGCCACCTAGAACTAAGGAGAAACTTCCTGACAGTGAGAACAATTAACCAGTGGAACAACCTGCCTCCAGAAGTGGTGAATGCTCCAACACTGGAAGTTTTTAAGAAGAGACTAGACAGCCATGAGCAGGGGGTTGGACTAGAAGACCTCCAAGGTCCCTTCCAACTATTCTATTCTATTCTATTCTATTCTATTCTATTCTATTCTATTCTATTCCTTAATTCTATTCCTTAATTCTATTCTATTCTATTCTATTCTATTCTATTCTATTCTATTCTATTCTATTCTATTCCTTAATTCTATTCTATTCCTTAATTCTATTCTATTCTATTCCAACACTGGAAGTTTTTAAGAAGAGACTGCACAACCATTTGTCTGAAATGGTAGAGTGTTTCCTGCCTGAGCAGGGGGTTGGACTAGATAACCTCCAAAGTCCCTTCCAACTTTTGATGATGATGATGATGATGATGATGTCCCTTTTCCAGTGCTGTTGTCACTTCAAATGGTCACTAAATGAACTCTCGTAAATCGAGGGCTACCTGGACTGCGTTCTAACCCCTGCACCACCTCTGCCCCTTACCCAAGTGCACCAAGGCTTCTTTGTCCCAAGGAAAGGTGGCCATGCCAGCCAACTCTTCTTCAGAAGAATTGGCAAAGAAGATGTTGAGATGGGTGGAGCCGTTCAGGTTGAGTCTGTTCTTCAGTTCCTTGACATCTAAGTAGGCTCTGGAACAAGAATAAGAAAGATTGGTTAGTATGTCAACATTGTTCATCCTCATATCTGTGTCAGGTGTATTTGACATATCTCAACTTCTGGAAGACTTGTCTTGCCCCATCCAGTCTATTTTTAGAGGACGAGTCATAAGTCCAGATTTTCAAGAAAAGATTGAACATCCATCTGTTCAGGAGGGTTTAAGGTCTCCTGTCTTAGACAAGGGGTTGGATTAGAAGACCTCCATGATCCCATCCAGCCCTGGGATTGTATGTTTCTATGCGAGCTACCTATCTTTCCAGAGACCAAGGGTTCAAATCAGCCAGCTGCAAGAAGAACCACCGTTCAAATTCATCACCTGGAATCCGGGTGAAGCTGTATGCAGCCTCCTAATAAATGAGGAACATCTACAGCCCAACGCAGTGGCCCTTTTCGTCTTCCATTAAACACCCGTTTGGGCACAACATCTCCAGGGGGAAGTGAGTGTATCAAGAAAATTGCTGTTGTGACATATGATCCCAGAACATTCCTAGAGCCGGAATGGGACACTTGCCATGGCCGACTCACTGCAGCCAACTTGCCACAGGCAACTTACCACAGCCATTTCATGGTGGGACAATTTAACAATTCAGTTGAATTATAAATTGAACAGCCCTGGTGGTGCAGTGGTTAGAATGCAGCAGTGCAGGCTAACTCAATGCTCACTCCAGGAGTTCGATTCTGGGACACCAAGGAGTTGTGCGAGTTGCTTCTTACCACACTTTTATTCCGCCCAGCCTGCCTTCTGCTGAGTCAGACCTTTGTTCTGTCAAAGCCAGCCTTGGCAACTCGACAGAGTGTCAAGCGAGAATTATCCAATCTGAGCTGGGGCTGAACCCAGGACCTTCAGTATGCAAAACAGATGCTCAGCCACTTAGTTACACTGCCTCACCTTACTGTAGTCATAACAGATTGCCCTACAATCAAATTTTCTCGCTTACACAACATCGGTCTCCAACGTTTGAAGGAGTCATCTTCTTCCGTCCAATTTGGAGATACTAAAGAGTGAGACTGGGTTCAAAAGATGATGCCATTGCAACTACAATGCCTCCTCTTAAAATCCAATATCTTATAGCTTCTTGGGTTTCTGCTGATCTCCATTGCCACCCTGGCACAAAATGCTGCCAAGTCTTCAACCATTTCTCCCTGATGACCAGCCTGAAAGTTCTCATGAACGTCAGCGTAGAACTTTGCAAATTTTGGAAGGGTGGAAACCAAAGAAACCAATTCAGTTGCTTTCCATTCAAAGCTTGACATTTCCCTACTGGAGAGAAGAGAGAGATATGTCTGGAAATCCAGACGTGATCCATCAGGATGCCACCTTGCAATACTTTGATCAAACATGACATTGGAATCACCAGTGAGCAAAATTCCAGGTTGGAATTTCATTGAGAATGGATTTTGTCCAACCCTGTAGGTCTTATTTGAAATGAGATGTAAGAGAAGAAGAGGCAGAGCCTAGAAGATGGAGTCAAGAGAGGAATCAGCCTGGAATCCTTACATTCTCACAAATGATCTAAGTGCAATCCTTCTTGAATTCTGTAGCACCAATTTAGTGCTGACGATTGATTGACTAGATTCTTGAGTATAAGTCAGCTCAAGTTCCACTGAAGCTGGCTTATGCTCTATACACAAGAATCTAGTCAATGGGCCCAAGTCTTCGGGCCTGACATGAGACTCAGTGTGCAACTGTGGGGTTGTAGAGGAAGGACTGGGCCTAGGAGAAGAAAAAGGAAGGAAAGAGTGCGCTCCTGGTCCAGTATTCTCCAAAGAGAATAACCAGGTTCTGTGGGCTGTTTCACATGGAACATTCCCAAGGCAATCTGCTCCATTCTTCTGCTATGCTGGATTCCTAGAATTCTTTTCTAGAATTCCATTCCCGGGAGGAAATGAGAAGCTACAAGAGCTGGCAAGACACCAAAGGTTTCTAGTCCTCCCGCTAGTAGGGGGGGGGATTAAAGAAAAAAAAACCCAACCAAACAAAGCTAGACAAAATGATGTTTCCACAATACCGTGATTGCTCACGCATTTTTTTCTGGCTAGTTCACCAGCCTTCCTCACACACCCCACTCCCCACCTGCTGATGAAGTCAGCCAAACTGGAAATAGCTTTGGCCTTGGCCTCCCCTGCCCCTCCTTTCACTGAATCATGAAAGCTCCCTCCCTAGGCACGGAAAGGAGAGGGTTTCCCCCTTCCATGGCGGGCTTACTTCAAGAAACAGTAGCTACCTCTGGACGATGTAGCTCGGCTAAGGATGATCCTACGGCTAAGTATCCTCTTTGTGGGTTCGTGGCCAAGAACAAAAGGCTGTCTGCAAGTATTAGGGCAGGTGTCCTAGGAAGATACTCCTTGCAGCCAGCTGTTCATCTGCCTTCTTTTAGAGAGTCAAAATCCTTCCCTTCCCCACCATCCAGTCAGAGCTGAAGACGCTTCTTGGTATGAGAAGCGAAACGTCTTCAAAGAAAAACAGAGAAAGTCCAGTTGTGCCTCTTGGGGAAAAAAAGTATGGTTCTACATTTAGGCAAGAAAAACCAAATGCACAGGTATAGTATAGGGGGTACCGTGCTCAATAGTAGTAACTGTGAGAGGGATCTCGGAGTCCTAGTGGACAATCCCTTAAAGATGAGCCAGCTGCCAAAAAAGCCAACACAGTGCTGGGCTGCATTAACAGAGGGATAGAATCAAGACCACGTGAAGTGTTAATACCACTTTACAATGCCTTGGTAAGGCCACACTTGGAATACCAGTTTTGGTCACCACAATGTAAAAAAGATGTTGAGACTCTAGAAAGAATACAGAGAAGAGCAACAAAGATGATTAGGGGACTGGAGGCTAAAATATATAAGGAACGGTTGCTGGAACTGGGTATGTCTAGTTTAACAAAGAGAAGGATGAGGGAGGACATGATAGCAGTGTTCCAATATCTCAGGGGCTGCCCCAAAGAAGAGGGAGTCAAGCTATTCTCCAAAGCCCCTGAAGGCAGGACAAGAAGCAACGGGTGGAAACTGATCAAGGAGAGAAGCAACCTAGAACTAAGGAGAAACTTCCTGACAGTCAGAACAATTAACCAGTGGAACAACCTGCCTCCAGAAGCGGTGAATGCTCCAACACTGGAAGTTTTTAAGAAGAGACTGGACAGCCATTTGTCTGAAATGGTATAGGGTTTCCTGCCTGAGCAGGGGGTTGGACTCGATGACCTCCAAGGTCCCTTCCAACTTTATCATTATTGTTATTGTTATTGTAAAAGCACCTTGGGGACAATTCTCTAAGTCCTTTAAGAATAAGGCAGAAAAGCAGAAGCCTTCCCCCCCCCCCCCCCCGCAGGGAAGCGAAAGCCTCGGGAGGGGAAATTGGCTGGGACATCTTGGCATCAGTGTTCAGCTCAGACTGATTTCACGGAGGATTTTAATCATAAATAGTGTATTGTCGCCCATTTCCTTATTCTATTTGAAGGGACAGAAGGAGTTGAGTCACAGATCAGGGCAGAACGAGCTGCTAATATATCCACTGGTGGGAAAAGGGGTAGAAATTATTATTATTATTATTATTATTATTTTATCAGCCTCCAAGAATCAAGCACCACCCATTCCTGTGCGCAGCTAATGTTACTACATCTTTTGGTCTCCGTTCAAGACAGACATTTTCCTGGCATGGACCTCGCAGGTTTCCCTGATTTTCCCATCAGGCTGTTCCCTATTTTGACAAACGCCTTCTATTAATAGTCTTTCCTTGGGTGGCTATTAAAAACACGGAGGTTTTTGATCGAGAGCGAGCGAAAGTCACTCTCTCTTTTTTGAGTAAAGAACTTAGGAGAAGGCAAGCTGTTGTGATATCACCCAGCCTGGAGGTTTTTCCTGTCTCGGAAGCCGGATAAAATGACCATTGCCAAACAGGATGGGAGATGCTTTCCAAACTAGCTAAGGCTGGGGGAGGGTGGGGGGTCAACTGGGGGAAACTTCAGTCTATGGGGCTGATGGGTCGCCATTTGATTCTACCCATTGCAGTGTCCAAATTCGATCCCTCCTGTTGAAAAATGCTGGGAGCCCAGATCTGTTTGGAATACTGAATCCATAATAGTTGTTGTTGTTGTTGTTGTTGTTATTATTATTATTATTATTATTATTATTATTATTATTATTATTAGAAAGACTGTGGCAAAAGCAAGCAAGGGTAGTACCAATAGTAATAGGCGCCTTGGGTGCAATCCCAAAACAACTTGAACACCACTTGAACACCATCGGCATTGACAAATTCGCCATTAGTCAATTCCAAAAGGCAGCCTTACTAGGAACTGCTTCCATCCTGCGACGAGATCTGTAATACCATCAAACATCCACATCTGCCTATCCCAGGTCCTTGGGAAGGACTCGAGAGGTAGACAAAATGCCAAATCCAGTCTGAACATCTGGCTGTGCGATGATCCATAATAATAATAATAATAATAATAATAATAATAATAATAATAATAATAATAATAATAATAATAATAATAATAATAATAATAAAGTTGGAAGGGACCTTGGAGGTCATCGAGTCCAACCCCCTGCTCAGGCAGGAAAGCCTATCCGATTTCAGACAAATGGCTGTCCAGTTTCTTCTTAAAAACTTCCAGTGTTGGAGCATTCACCGCTTCTGGAGGCAGGTTGTTCCACTGGTTAATTGTTCTAACTATCAGGAAGTTTCTCCTTAGTTCTAGGTTGCTTCTCTCCTTGATGAGTTTCCATCCGTTGCTTCTTGTCCTGCCTTCAGGCGCTCTGGAGAATAGCTTGACTCCCTCTTCTTTGGGGCAGCCCCTGAGATACTGGAGCACTGCTATCATGTCCCCCCTCGTCCTTCTCTTCGTTAAACTAGACATACCCAATTCCAGCAACCGTTCCATCACTGGAGGTTTTTAAGAAAAAAAACTGGATGGCCACCTGTCTGAAATGGTATAGGGTTGAGCAGGGGGTTGGACTAGAAGACCTTCAAGGTCCCTTCCAGATCTATTCTGATTGATTGATTGATTGAACCAGTAGAATGGATTGCCTTCAGACCAAAACATACGAAGAACGGCTACGGGATTTGAGTTTGGCTAGTCTAAAGAAAAGAAGAAATAGGGGAGACATGATCGCAGTGTTCCCGTATCTGAGGGGCTGCCACAAAGACGAAGGGGGGTCAAGTTGTTCTCCAGATGGAAGGACAAGAACCAACGGTTGGAAACTGATCAAAGAGAGAAGCAACCTAGAATTAAGGAGAAACATCCTGACAGTGAATTAACCAGTGGAACTGCTTGCCTCCAGAAATTGTGGGCGCTCCATCACTGGAGATTTTTAAGAAGAGGCTAGACGTTCACTTGTCTGAGATGGTGTAGGTTCTCCTGCTTGAGCAGGGGGCCGGACTAGAAGACCTCCAAGGTCCCTTCCAGCTCCTATTCTATTCTTGGGACAGATATAATTTTGGTTTTGATCTCTACCTAAAGATTTTGGAGCTTCTTAAAACCCAAGCAGACTCATAGCTGGAGCAAGGAAATATTTATCCCCTGGTCTTTTCCGCAGAAAACCTAGGGATAATTAGAGTCTTTTATCTCACCATCTATCAGACCTCAAAAGGCTCACAAAACCCCTTGCCAGCTACTAATTTTTAATGGCTTCTTCTTCACAGGCTGTGCCAAAACTCTCTTGAATCGCCACCAAGATACACAGGGGTCCAAATGATAGTTACTGTTAAGACAGATGTCTTGTATTTTAAAAACGATACGCCGTTCATCAAAACCAAGTTAATGGGGCAGCAATGCTTTTAAAAACGGGCAACCGCTCCGAACTCATGTCTCTGGACACATCTCGTCCTTGATACGGTTCTCAGATGGCTATTCCAGAACGGTACAAATTCATCGGCTTTTCCATGTTCCTCCAGCTTTATCGGTTCTGCTTTAGTTTATTGCTGGCATAAAATACTCACGAAAAGAACCAAGAGTGCCTCCCTTCCCTCTGGGGTGCACTTCTGTTCCCAATCTCCGCAGAGATAATACTATTAAAACAGAACGAGGTAGGAGGAGCAGGTGAAATGAGCAACGGAATGACCCTTGGCTGAAAGCCAAACTGTTTTCAGAATGTCGGTCTATGTGGTCACCCAGAATCGAAAAAAGAGTTGGTGGCCCATGATTCATCTAAAATAAAATAAATAAAATAATAAAATAAAATAAAATAAAATAATAAAATAATAATAAAATAAAATAAAATAAAATAANAAATAAAATAATAAAATAATAAAATAAAATAAAATAATAAAATAATAAAATAAAATAAATAATAAAATAAAATAAAATAAAATAATAAAATAAAATAAAATAAAATAAAATAAAATAAAATAAAATAATAAAATAATAAAATAATAAAATAAAATAAATAAAATAAAATAAAATAAAATAAAATAATAAAATAAAATAAAATAAAATAAAATAAAATAAAATAAAATAAAATAAAATAATAAAATAAATAAAATAATAAAATAAAATAAAATAAATAAAATAAAATAAAATAATAAAATAAAATAAAATTCAGAATGTTCCAAAACTTAGCCATCACATTATTATGGAATAGCAAGTATCAGAGGTGGTGCTTAAGTATCATTAAGGTGGAACATTGGGGAAAGCAGGACAATGGTGGGGCAGTAGATAGAATGCAGCTTTGCAGGCTAAATCTGCCCACAGCCAGGAGTTCGATCCTGACTGGCTCAAGGTTGACTCACTCTTCCATCCTTCTGAGGTCGGTAAAATGAGGACCCAGATTGTTGGGGGGCAAAATGCCGACCCTGTAAACTGCTTAGAGAGGGCTGTAAAGCAGTACATAAGTCTAAACGTTATTGTGATGTCTATTGCTATCTATTTATCCATCTATCCATCCATCCGTCTGTTTGTCCGTCTACCTATTTCAATCCATCCATTTATCCACTGACCCATCCATCCATCTATCCATCTGCTCATATCTATCTATCTATGAATGAATGTTTGCAAATCAAGGACTACCTGTTGAACGGTGTGCAAATAGATCTGATACGGGATCTAGGTGATTTGAAGATGCTTACCTGTTAGGAGAATCAGGGTCAAAGCAGGTCTTGGTGACATCCGTTATATCTGGATTGCAGCAATCCCCACCGTCAAAGTTGTACTTGTCCGAGTTGCAATCCATGTCGCAAACGCCGTTCTGTTTCTTCTTGTTGAAGGAAAGCTGACGCACGTGGCGGCAGTCTCCTCCATCGTACCCGGTCAACGTGTGATTGCACTCCGGATCGCAGCTCTCGTCTCCAATCTTGCTGATTTCGCAGTTGGCCAGGATGAGGCGGTTGCGAAGGGAGGAGTTGTTGACCTCCAGCACCTCCATTTCCCACGAGATGTTGTACGGGCCGAAGGCGTCGTTCAGCTGCTGGTGCTGGAACTCGATTTGTTGCTGGCTGATGGTTGGGTTGCGATGATGGTCGTTGTAAATGTTCACCACGCGGTAGCGGACCACTTTCTGGTGGCGGAAGGTTGGGATCTGGTTGTAACTGCCGATGACCTCCACGTTGTCGCAAACGGTTTGCCCACAAAGAGGAGGCTCCAGGCTGGTATCCAACAGGTAGTCAGAGTGGGATGTGAACTCAGTCAGAGGAAGACGTGGGCTGTCTTTCATGGGAGACCAGCTGCTTTTCACATTCAGTAAAGTCTCCTGAAACACTAGCTGAGGTAGAGGAACATCTGCTTCGGGAGCCACCAGAGTCATGTCCGTCAGTATCTCCTTCTGAGAACGGACTGTTCTCCAAAGACTAAAATGTTCTACGTATCCTCGGTAATTTTGGTTTAGGGCATTGCCACCCAACATAAGGACCTTACACTTTGAGGTCAAAGGGCTGAAAATACTCCCTACCTGTTCTCTGCCGGTTGCCACCTGGGCACCGTTGACATACAACTTCATCAGACGTCCATCGTAAGTGATGGCAAGGTGAACCCATTGATTTGGAAGGTAGCTACGGTGGTCTGTGATGGTGGTGAGCTTCCAGGCCCGGTCGGTCTTCAAGGAGAAAAAATAGCGAGGATCTTGATTGCCCTGGTCACTTATGTTGTTGATTCCCAAAACCCATCCACGGTCAAGGGTGGTATAAGAACATTTGTCGTATAATCCTAAGTGTCCGCAACACAAAAGAAAAGAAAGGAAAAGAGAGTGAATATGGGTGAGCATAACATCATGATATCATGATTTAATTTGGCACAGAAGTCCTTACGCGAGCCTATCCATTATTCCAACATCTAATATCAGCATCCTGAGAACTCTCATTCATGCCCCTTGAAGTACACGCTTAATGTCAATTAATTGAACCAAATCTTCCTTAGCAAATGCTTCATTAGTGAATTCTCAGAACCTTCCTAAAAATGACAGTTCCTAGAATTCTTCCGTACAAATCCGCGCAAGAGAAGGGAGAAATATAAGCTACTTATTTGTGCCCAAAAAGTAGAAGATGTTTCATCTCACATTATCAAACACTGTATTAACAAACTACCAACAAGTTTTGAGTGTTTTCCATTCAAGAATTCTTGGGAACTGATTTAAGAAATCTCTCACAAGGATGCATTTGCTTACAACTGGTTGTATTGCCAGTCCTCATCCAGACGGGTTTCAAAAACCCTAAGAAATGTACTTGCCTAGTGCTCTCTGACCCCCATACGCCAACAATCTTCATTTCTACCCTACCACAAAAATCTGACACATCCCTTATTGTGTGGAGAGTGGAACAAGTTGGAAGGAGGTAATAAAATACCAAGAGAATGGGCACCACTACATATAAGCTTCCACGATAGGAAACAAAGTGGTCTACAACCTTGATTGTTTATGCATGTAAGAAAGTACGCAACTGAGTCATCAGGAAGAACATCCATTTTGTCATCACGATATCTGAGCTGGCACTGATGGCTCTACTCCCTCTGCATTCTACCAGCTCTAAAGACCGTCTTTGGACAAGATTGAAGAACAGCTCTTCAGGGTGGTCTAACTGGGGGGGGAGAGGGAAGTATCAGGTTCTCAAGACAAGAAGAGTTTCCTCTTTCATCACAACTCCTACTTTGCATCCATGAATATTGCCCCACGGGTGCTTTTTCAAGAGACAACTGGACTTTGCTTTGAAGACCCTTCACTTCTCATTCAAGAAGCTTCTTCAGCTCTGACTGGATGTGGGGAATGGAAGGATTTATACTCCTTGCAACCAGCTGGTCATTTGCCTTCTTTTAGAGAGTCTAAATCCTTCCATCCAGTCCGAGCTGAAGAAGCTTCTTGGATGAGAAGCAAAATGTCTTCAAAGAAAAACAAAGAAAGTCCAGTTGCCTCTTGAAAAAAAAAGCACCTTTGGGACAATCGTGACCTGGATGACGGAGAACCACCATAGACATTTTGAGATGGTTAGAGGCAGATTCAAAAGAGAGTATTGGGATTCCAAGTTCTCTACCATCACCGTTCCTATTTTGGGGTTCCAAAGAAGCAGTTGAGAATCAGAATCAGAACAGAGCTGGGAGGGACCTTGGAGGTCTTCTAGTCCAGCCCCCTGCTCAAGCAGGAGTGCCTCTACCATTTCAGACAAGTGGCTTTCCAGTCTCTTCTTAAAAACCTCTAGTGTTGAAGCACCCACAACGTCTGAAGTCAGCTTCTGTTCCACCAGTTAATTGTCCTTACTGTTAGGAAGTTTCTCCTTAATTCCAGGTTGCTTCTCTCCTTGAATTAAGGAGAAGTTTCCTAACGGTGATGAGACTCAGCTTCCACGTTCCACCTGATCCAGCTCAGGGAAGACCTGCCTTCTTGTCTTACAGCCTACTTTGCCGAAGGAAATAAGACAGTGGGTGGGTCATAGGTATTTGCAAGACCGCCTCCTACCAAATATCTCCCTTCGACCAGTCCGCTCCCACAGAGTGGGCCTCCTTAGGGTGCCGTCGGCCAGTCAATGCCGGCTGGCGACCCCCAGGGGGAGAGCCTTCTCTGTGGTAGCTCCTGCCCTCTGGAATGACCTACCCCCCCCTGACCTACGTACAACTACGGACCTGCGCCTCTTCCGCCGAGCCTTGAAAACCCATCTATTCCACGTGGCCGGCCTGGCGTAGTTTTGATTGGGCTTTGCTAGGGGTTTTATATGGGGTATTTTAGAGCAGGCTTTTTATTCAATATTTATTGTGATTTTTATTATTGCCTGTTCACCGCCCTGAGTCCCGTAAGGGAGATAGGGCGGTATATAAATTTAAATAATAAATAAATAAATAAATATTTACAACCCCCCTTTTGTATTTTTAGAGATCTGTGTAAATAAAAAGTGGAAGTGCCAGCTTTCTAATAATAGGGAGCTGGGTTTTTTGTTTGCTGAGGAAACACTTAACTGTGGTATTCCCTACTTACAGTTGCCTTTGCCACAACCCACTAAACCTCATGCTCCGTTGAAACTAGGCCAAGATACATCTCATTACAATAACGTTCCTCGGCCTGTTTACACCAGCTTCCATTCCTTTCCCCTCTCCTTGTCTCTTTCTAAACTGGGCTGCAGTGTTTGCAAAATGCCACACAACCACTGACTGGGTCATCATGATTATAAAATACCATCCCTCTCGTCCTTTTAAGGGACAGCCGTCAAAACCTCCGCCCACCTGGATAGCAATGGGATCCATGTTCAGAGTCAAAATGCAGATTGAAATGAAGGATAGAGTTAAAGAAAAATAATACACACAACTAACACACTAACAGAGTTGGAAGGGACGTTGGAGGTCTTCTAGTCCAGCCCCCTGCTCTGCCAGCAATACCTATCCCATTTTAGACCAATGGCTGTACAATCTCTTCTTAAAAACCTCCAGTGTTGGAGCATTCACAACTTCTGGAGGCAAGCTGTTCCACTGGCTAATTATTCTAAGTGTCAGGAAATTCCTCTTTAGTTCCAGGTTGTCAGGAAATAACCATCCTAAATTGTCAAGTGTCAGGAAATAACAATCCTAAATCACTTTTTTTTTCAGTACCTTTGTAACTTCCAACAGTCACTACGTGGACTCTAGTAACTCAAGGACTACATGTAGTGTACGATTCTAAGAACCAATAACCAACAGAAGCCATAACAACTGAGCAACCTAAAGCAAATGAACCATTCTATAAAAAAGATGTTGAGACCTTGGAAAAAGTTCAGAGAAGAGCAACTAAGATGATCCAAGGCCTGGAGACTAAAACATATGAAGAACGGCTGCGGGACTTGGGTTTGGCTAGTCTAAAGAAAAGAAGAAACAGGGGAGACAGGATAGCAATGTTTCAGTATTTGAAGGGCTGCCACAAAGAAGAGGCGGTAAGGTTGTTCACCAAAGCACCAGAGGGAAGGATGAGAAACAATGGATGGAAACTGATCCAGGAGAGAAGCAACCTGGAATTAAGGAGAAACTTCCTAACAGTGAGGACAATTAACCAGGGGAACAGCTTGCCTCCAGAAGTTGTGGACGCTCCATCACTGGAGGTTTTTTAGAAGAGACTGGACAGTCACTTGTCTGAGATGTCTCCTGCTTGAGTGGGGGGCTGGACTAGAAGACTTCCAAGGTCTATTCTATTCTATTCTATTCTATTCTATTCTATTCTATTCTATTCCATTCTATTCTACAATCTGTCTATTCTATTCTATTCTATTCTATTCTATTCTATTCTATTCTATTCTATTCTATTCTATATTCTGTCTATTCTATTCTATTCTATTCTATTCTATTCTATTCTATTCTATTCTATTCTATTCTATTGTATATTGTATATTGTATATTGTATATTGTATATTGTATATTCTATTCTATTCTATTGTATATTGTATATTGTATATTGTATATTGTATATTGTATATTGTATATTGTATATTGTATATTGTCTATTCTATTCTATTCTATTCTATTCTATTCTATTCTATTCTATTCTATTCTATTCTATTCTATTATATTATATTATATTATATTATATTGCTTCCAACTCTTTCTATTCTATTCTATTCTATTCTATTCTATTCTATTCTATTCTATTCTATTCTATTCTATTCTATTCTATTCTAACTCAGAGGTGGCACCCAAGCTAGAAGGACTCGCATGCATGATTTGGTTGGCTTCTCTGTGAGATGTTTGCCTTTCAGAAACGAGGAAGAAAAAGGTCATGGAGATATGAGTGGCGGTTACCAAGAGCGAGGGGGACAGGACCCTGTTTATATCAAACCTGCCAGGAAGGGAAGCCCGGGTGGAGATAGGCCACCCGGTCATGTTCTTCAGAAAAAAACAAGGGAAGCTAATTTCCCCCCCCAGAGTAAGTTCTGGAACTTGTCATGACTTTCATGGCTGGGATAAGCCAACCCAAGGTGACAGTTATGAAAGGGGAATTTTGGTCCACAATCAAAGCTGCAGTCAAGAGGCCCATGGACGGGGAAGGGAAGAAGTTGGAGCTCCCTTCCTTCTCCCTTGCACGCTTTAATCACTTAGTATCAAATTTGCCGCAGAACGCTTGAAAGAACAGCCACCGCACCCGAACCTCTCCGAAGCTTTCATCTGGCCAGCAGAAAATAATTACGAGAGACAGATTTGGGTTAACTATTTCCATGGTGCATGCGACTGAATCAAGTTGGGGAGGACTGACCCGACTTATTTCCAAAAGTCAGTAGGGATTGCTTGGGCTGGTGTCTGTTGGGTAGAGTTAGAAGCGAGCAGAAGGACAGAGGAAGAAAAGCTGTGCTTCGCTGGGATCCAAACTCTCCCATCGCCTTCTTCCCAGTGAACCTGAAATAATTCAGAAGTTGTAAAAGAGGCAACCCTCAACCCTTTCCGTGCGTGATAGTAGTATGGTAACAGAACAGACAGAGTTGGAAGGGACCTTGGAGGTCTTCTAGTCCAACCCCCTGCTCAGACATGGAGGGGAGAAAGCTGAATCTTTTCTTATAAAGATGAGAAGTATTGATTTGTTGGGAAAAATCAGACTATCTCAATCCCAAATTGGACCTCACCACGGCCAACTCCCTGTGGGACAATTTGCCACGGTCTAACTCACTGCCTGGCAACTCACCGCAGGGCAATTTAACAATTTAATTTAATTATTTAAAATAAAAAAAAAATATTTGAAGTTTTGCTTTTCACATTTCATTTTGTCCTTCCTT